CTCGTCCTTCACCAGATCTCGCATGGCAGACATCAGCGTCTTTGACTGCTTACGACCAAAGAGTTCATTTTCAAAAAGCGCCTTTAGAATGTCCATTGAGGTGGCCTTGCTGGCGATGAACTTCATGGCGTTAGCCTTGAGCACTGCGGCGTTGTACGTGTCGGCGACCATCAGCAAGTTGAACATCGACTCGGCGGTCATCTTTTCGCTGAGCTCATTTTCAGCAATCGTTTTCAAAGAATCAAGTTGGTACTTGTCAGCGATGATCAGCACTTCAATCGCCTTGATTTCGTCAGTGAGCTCGGGAGGCTTTGATGTGTAGAGGTACTCGAGCAGTTCGGTGAACATGTCGGCGTCGATGTCCTCAATCGGCACACTGTTGGAAGCTTTCTCTTCAAAATCCTGCATAAACATTGCCTTGAAGTAGGGCGAGCGAGAGTGCAGAATTGCCTTGTGAACGGGAAATTTTCGCTCGCCGATGGTGAACTCAAAGTCGGAGAACTCGCCGCTTTGAAGCAATTTTTCCAGATCATCCAGTACTTGCATCTTGTCATCCAGTTTTCGGATTGGGCGAGCAATGGTCAGCTTTTCATAAATTGTTTCCAACTCTAAGGTGAACTAAAGAGGAAAACAATAGTAAGTTTTGAGCTTTAACTTTTGTAATTAACGATTTTTACCTCGCAACAAAAAGTGAAGATATCTTCTGGCAGCAATCCGTTTTTTGGATCAGTTATTTCTGAACGGTTTTCATTATATATAATTTCGTAATCATTTTGAGAAATGGCATTGGTAAAATCTAAAACACAATTAGACATTTAACAAAAATACGAAATTTACTACATACCAATATTTTTCCAGATCTCCCCATTCTTGGTCAACAGCCATCCTGACGTTTTACATTTTAGCTTTTCAGGCGAAATCAAAAGGAGATTCACAGTGACTTCATCCTCATATGGGTCTATACTCAATGAGAACAGTGGTTCTTGACGGCCCGGTGGAGCAAACTCTTTAGTGACAAAAGTTTCAATTCGAGTTGTGAACTTATCAAATGAGCATTCATATTCAAAGCGGACCGTTTCGGTGCTGTAGTTGACGAGAATCTTGGAAGTTTTGCTGTTTGCCATTATTTGGGAAAAATGGAAAGTTGTGCCGAGTTTGAAGTTGAGACCAAAATTTAAGAAAACAAAGCAGAACAGACAAAAAGAATGTGTCGGTTTTTCTCGATGGCTGCTCAATCAGTTGTCGTTGCTCCCCGTGCGTGTGTTTCACCGCTGACTCATATGCAACGAGCTCTGTTCAGTTTGAACAGAGCGCGAAAAGATAGTTTTTACTGCCAAAAAAGAAAAAGAACTCTAAACATGTTTGCCTCTTCCCGCTTGTGCAGCGCCATGAGGGCTTTTTTTAATTACCACTAGTTGCCTCTCACATACAAGCTAGCCAATGCTAGTCAAGCTTCAGCTAAAACTCTCTCTCACATACACAGTTTTTTCCTTCAAAGTAATCTGCCAAACAAACACTCTTCTTCTAAAACACAGGAAATTGTTGCAGTCGACTAATGGTCTCTCAATCTCATCCAAGGCCATGAGGGCAGCCTGGCAACTGCGATCAGAGCGGAAAACTTGCCATTCGGCACGTTCTCTGTACCCTCTCACTAAATGGTGAATCTGTGCATTTATTTCACTTGCTTGCCATTGTTCTTTAATGCTTCATTTGAAGTCATAAAACAAGTAACCTTTACACTTTGACACAATAAAAATATAAAAAAAGTCAATGTCACTGGCTAAATTGCACTGATTTGTTGTCACTTTTTCCCATTGGTCATTGGAGATTATCACGTAGAAAGAGGGAGTATGAAAGCAACTTCAGATTCCAGAGTTCGATTTCAAAATCGCCTCTTCATTTTCTTATCTCTACAATGAACTTCTTTCATCGGTCAAAAACTGATAAATCAGAGTGCAGATTACTTTAGCATAATCTTCGGTCACCACCACCACCACAAACCCATTAGCCTCGATTATCTTCTTCTCGATTATTTCAAAATCGATGATGGTCGATGTCATCGACTCGATGAAGAAGAGAAAAATTCTCAAAGTCTGAAATGGTGCAATCGTTAAAATAGCATCAGCGGCTAATGTGCAAATAGATACTGAAAAAAAATTTTGTTTTGATTTTGCTTTCTGATCAGCAGAAAAGCAAAAGTTGATGTTGCCTTGGAGTTTGTAGAAGCAGACCAATAACCAACAATCAAATCAGCTAAAAGTGATGTAATCACAGTGCACAATGCTCAAACGCATCACCGGCATCAGCCCCAGGGCCAACAACATCCGAGCTGGACTGTTCTTTCAGTGCAATACCGCCGTACAGTGTCGTCATCTTCAGAGCTGCTGCTCCAAGACCACTACCTCCACAACTTCCAATGGAAATCACCATCATCACCACCACCACTACAAACAACAGACCTTGGACCAGCAGAGAAGGAGGTGGCTGTCGAACCAGGCGAAGATCTACCGCTGGA